TGTGGCAAGAAGTGCTGAAAGCTGCAGTCCAGGAACATCTGGGAGGATCACACTTTGCCTACCCTTTATTAAAAGCCAACATTAACTGAATTGTACAACTAAAATGTTCTACAAACTCCAGAAACCTGAGCCTAAAGCATATATTTTTATTTAAAGGTAACCTTAGCTGTCATAGTGTAGCAGTTTGAGTATTGGTTTAAATATCCACATAGGCATGGAAATTTACTGGATGCCCTTGGGCCAGTCTTCACCCTCAGAGGAAAACAATGGCAAACCACCTTTGAACACGTTTTACCAAGAAAATCCTAGGTTAAGGTTATCATAACTCAAAGCTGAAACAGACAAATAACAAGAACAAAACAACCAGATAAGATATGAACTAAGAAATACAACATTCTTTCTATAGACTGATGAAACTAAGGCTGGAGGACACCCTAAGGTGCATCTAGTCGGCCCTTTGCCCATTCAGGAATCCACAGATAATGTGTCCTTGACAAGAAGTCCATACAACCTCTCTCTCTCTCTCTCTCTCTCTCTCTCTCTCTCTCTCTCTCCCTCTCCCTCTCCCTCTCTCTCTCTCTCTCTCTCTCTCTATAAACTCTGTTCTTTCTCTGCCTTTTGTGGTGATAGTGCAGAGGGCATCTATGCTTGATGCAGAGCATTTCAGATAGTGCTTTCCATGGTATTAAAACATAGTAATAAACTAGATTGACAGTGTGTAACCCATTCATGGTATCCCCATATTCCCAAGCTGATATTGCCACTCGTATTTGCAGGAACTACAGTCATGAAGAAACATCTTTCCTAGCTCAGGCCAATGAAGGTATCTTGTGTACAGAGTGCCTTGCTGATAAGTCCCTAATAGAACAGACCATTTATTACTTTAAGTACTTCTATTTTGCTGGTGATGGAGAGAAGCAGCAAGCAGGCTCTGTGAAGAGTTGGCACCAAGGACTGATTTGTGCATTCTCCAGTGTCTTGTATAGCTTAGAGTGAGTCACAACTGTTCAGTGGAGTGCCACATGACTGGGAAATGGGAATTGTTCAAGGTGACCTACTATGAGGCTCACAAACAGGAAGAAACAGATAACAAGCAGTCACTGGAGCCTGCACTATCTGGGCTTGCATTCCCCCCAGACTTTCAAGGGTGCTGACTATCTCACTTTCCAGCCAACCATGATGGTCATAGATCTCTGTGTGTAAACATGGAGTTGTCAGAAACCATCCAGAAAGAGATCCAGTTTAAAAAGCCAAAAGCCAGCATAGAGAACATACTTATGCCCTTTGTCCGAGTTCATTTGCTTTTCACACTGGCTCTGCAGACACCAATTTTCTCCTTGACTGAGATCAACTTTCTGTCAACTTGACCTTCAAGAGATATTCAGCATAGAGCAATTATTTAGAACTGGGTGTGCTGTTTTTCAGGTTGTGTCCAAAAACAGCAGTCTTCAACTATTGCCCTTTTCCCAACAAGATGGTGGCAGTGATTGTATTACCATAGCAAGCTGCAGATCCTATAATCTGCAGATTGCTTGTTTAGCTAGATCAGCAACATCTGCAGTAGTTGTTAGCTGGAGGCGCTTCAGAAGCAGGCATGACAAATGTAGCCCTTTTTGTTGTGTGCGTTTCATGAGCTGACGCTGAAATGCATTTATTCTGGCTATTATCTTGTTGTAAAACAAGTCCAGTGTAGACGCCCCTATAGCATCTTCCCCCTATTTTATGGCATGCAAGTAGCCTCATAGAAGATAGCAAGGTAGATCATCTACAGCCAGCAGGCCCTCTGCAATGGCATCTGTCTGCATACGGAGTTCCCCAGAGCTTCCAAAAAAGCAAGGTTTTTTTTATCTGTCCTTGATCACTATACTATTCAAAACCCTTCTATTCTTTCAAAACTACTTCCATATTTTTAAATCATAAAAAGTTGGTTAAATGGGAAAGTAAAATAGTTCCACTGAAACCTTTTCCTGGAAACTCCTTCCCAATCTATCCCCTGCAATAAAATCAATAAAATATTGCTGTGTGAAATGTGATCAGACAGGAAATCCACGTAAAGCTAGTTTCTCACAGGAGACAAATTGCCTTTAACACTTTGATTCTCTTTGCACAGATAAGGGAAGAGGCTTATGGTACTGGATAATTATTGAATTGTACTATTTTTCTCCTGCTGCTAGTTTGGGAAGGAAAGTTTTGATGCATTCATCATAAAGTAGGGGATGATGATGATGATGATGATGATGATGATATAATAGATTCAGATTATTAATAAACAATTAAAATATAATATGCCAGGCATAAGAGTCATTAAGAAAGCATAGATTACATCCCCATGGGACAGAAGAACTGAAGACAATAAAAAAATATTCAATATTAAAATATGCAAACCAATATTCAGTGCCTATGGAGAAAGAAAACAACAACTCCTTTAGTGATAAGCGCTCTGGCAACAATTCTAAACAGAATGACAACAAAATTACCTTTAATAGGAACACAATAGCACAGTTACAAAAATTGATGCTACATGACATGTTTCACATAATCCAACAACATCTCACTGATTCCTAGATTCTCAGATAGATTCCCAATTACTGATGGTCCAAACTTTTGATCAGTATCACTGGTAAACTGATAATATTATGATGAAAACCCCTGTGGTTGCTAACTGCTAGAATTTACATATGCCAAGCCAGTTTGTGTTCATAACATAACAGCCTCCTGTATTTGCTGTCTGTATGCCCTTTCACAACATAGTCTGTTTTCCTGCCAATTAAAAGTCCCAGTGCCTTCAGTCTACCTGTTATTTCCGCAACAAGGTGATGGCCTGTCAACTTAGAGCAGCATGACAAGGTCGGCTTCCATGTCTCAATTGCAGACTTTCCTCTTGACTTGTATTGATTATTTTCCAAAGGTGCAAGCAAACCCTTTTTTTCCACCTATGACATGCCTCTGTTTCAATCCTATTTTAAGCCTCTTTGTGGCTATAATTAAAGTTTTATCTTCAGAGGAGGAGAAGAGAATATGAACATGTTTTTAGGGTTTGTTTGTGTGTAACTTTCGCTAAGAAGAAGACGTGTGAGTTTCATATTGTGAAATCAGTTCATTCATAAAGAAGCTAAAGTACAGTCAGCTCTCTGTATCCATGGATTTTGTGTACATGGAGTCAACCATCTATAGCTTGAAAATAATAATAATAATAGTTTATTTATTTGACCAGTCATATGACCATTTCAAAATACAACATGAGTAAAAGACAAGGCAAAAAAAGGAGAGGACAGCAGCTGACCTTCTATTTACAGTCAGAATCTTATTTTCCTGATTCTTCTTTCAGGAAATGTGCCCTTTTCTTGATAGCTTTCAGAATAAAAAGGCTTACTCTGATTATGGCAGATCTTTCCTGTCTCTGCAAGAGGAATGTCAGAAGATCATTTCTGTTGGGGGACCTGCAGTTGGATAATATTGGATGTAAATATCTGTATCTGAAAATATATATTTTAAAAATCCCGAAAGCAAACCTTGATTTTGCTATTTTATATAAGGGGCACCATTTTATGTTGCCATTGCACTATATAATGGGTTTTGAGCAGCCACAGATTTGTGTATCCATGGGGAGTCCTGGAACCAAACCCCAGCCAATTGCAAGGACCCACTTCCACAAAGTAAGAAATTAAAATGTCAAAAGTAATAAAAGAAATGAAAAGGCTAACTAAATCTATTTAACCTCTTTGTTTTTGGCAATGTGGTGCTTATAGTTTAACAGGTTGTATCTCCAGATAACCACAGAAAAGTCAGCTAAATCTGCCTAATGAAGTTAACACAATAGTGTACAAAACCAAATATCTATCCCATCCACAGTTTCTCTCTCAGTTTATGCCCTTGGTGCCTGGTTTGCAAGCACAGAGTCTCCAGCTGGGCTCCCCACAGTGGCATGGATCATATAAACCAGTACATGAGAAGAGTCTATTTTGGGCATGGGGTGGAAGAGTTAGAGAGCAGTCCCTATTTTTCATATCAGGGGTAAAGTTTATATGGGGTCATTGCTCCATAATAATAATATACTTGATATAGTGGCATCCAGAACCACAGTTCTTAAGAAACTGGTGGTCAATCTTTGGCTCTTCAGGTGTTTGGACTACTTTTGCCATAATCTCTTAGTGGGCTTTCTGGAATGTAAAGTCCCCCATGCTTGCCTTAACAGCTAGTTTACAGAATAGTAATCAATCGCTAAGTAACAATCCAGAAAGTTTCCCAGCTGTTTCTGAGAGGAGTCTGCATCATACGTTGCTAGTACATTACATCATTGTGGTAAATTTTGGGTTACAGAGTGATAACATCTCTGATATCTCACTTACCTGGTTTTCTGTAAACATAGCCTTTTCATGATAAAACAGCTATTTTGGGGGATGACAATTTCCACAGCCCCACTTCCCATTTTGTGAAGGGAAAATATAGTCTAAAAAATAAATTGTGTTGTTGGACCTCACCACCTCTGAGGATGCCTGCCATTGATATGAGTGAAACGTCAGGAGAGAATGCTTCTGGAACATGGCTATACAGTCTAGAAAACTCATACATTTTTCAAGTTTCAGGATTTATCTCTTTAACTCCTCCTTTGCCATCTCTGTATTTCTGAACTTAGTAAATCTTGTAGACTCTGGCAAAACCTTTCAGTATTTGGGGTGAACACAGTGTACAACTATATCTGTTTGATGGCACTTTAAATGTAAATATGCCAATTTCTGTAGTCTTTAGACTTCTCCCTGAAGAATATAATATCTGTCTGCAAAGAATTATAAAACTCTCACCAAGCTGTAAACTCTAGGAATCCATAGAATGGCAGTTAAAGTGGGATCATACATCAATAGTATGGATAGCCCCTTAAAACTTTCCTTATGTGTGTAGAGAGATTCACAAGGCAATGTTTGTTGTTTTTACAGCTGCATATCCGTTGAGAATGAGAAAAGCCATTTCCCAATAACTTTCTTCCCATATTTTGTCAACAGAAAAAAGTGTACCATCACATGGGATTTTTGTCGATGCTGCAAGAACAACTGAAACCCAAACCATGCCAGCCTGGATTTCTATAGCAAAACAAAAGCAGAAGGCCATTGAACAGGAGCTTAGCAAAGAAGACAAACCAGTGGTTCAGGAAGAGAAGACAGATTCAGAGAGGCAAATTCAAGAGAATGAGGGAGTGGAGGTAACCAAGTACATTTGTGCTTGATTTGTTTATGACATTGCCTTGGGACTTTTTGCTTTAGCCTACTTCTGACTAATCATATCTAGGTTATCTCTAATTAATCACATGTTATCTAATTAGCTTACTTTTGTGAAATCAGCCAGTGTCAGCACATATCTATTACTGCTGTATTTAGAAGCTATTGTTCATTTATTTAATTCCACAATATCTTGTCCTTATTTCCCCAAGCTTGGATCACCATTCATTTTGCAATTCTCCTTGTATAGACATTGCAGGACCAGGTTAATCTGAGAGTTGACAACCCACTTTTATTCTTGTAATTTGAATCGGGACAAGTCTCCCTTTTTGAGTCAGTTTCCATCCTGGCAGCTATGCTACCCTCTGATGGCCATTCTTGCGGCACTTGAAAGACACAGCTGAAAGATTTGGAGAGTTATGGTTCAAGAAAGCACCTTTTTCCATGTCTTTTCTTCCTTCCTTAATACCCATGCAGGGTTTTGTTTTGTATTTTGCATCAATAGGTGTGCTTTGGCATCTTGCCTCTTCATTCTGCAAAACTGGAGCACATACCGACTGCAACAGTTACATCCAAGTATCTCTTTTGAAGAGAAAAGGAAGTCTGGGGTGATTTATTTTTACCATTTTCATGGCAAAAAATCTTACCAGTGGGTTGCTATAAGTTTTTCAGGCTGTCTGGCCATGTTCCAGAAGCATTCTCTCCTGACATTTCATCTATGGCATGCATCCTCAGAGGTTGTGAGGTCTGTCGGAAACTAGGAAAATTGGGTTTATATATCTGGAATGTCAGGATAGGAGAAAGAACTCTTGTCTGTTGGAGGTAAGTGTGAATGTTTCAATTTACCACCTCGATTAGCATTTAATAGCCTAGCAGTTTTCAATGTGTGACTTGTTACTGCCTGGGGGAATCCTTTGTTGAGAGGTGATTAGCTGTCCCTGATTGTTTCTTGTCTGGAATTCCCTAATTTTGAATGTTGTTCTTTATTTGCAGTTATGATTTTAGAGGTTTTTTAAAATACTGGTAGCCAGATTTTGTTCATTTTCATGGTTTCTTCCTTTCTGTTGTGGATTTCAATGAACCCCATTTTCCTAGTTTCCAACAGATCTCACAACCTCTGAGGATCCCTGCCATAGATGCAGGTGAAATGTCAGGAGAGAATGCTTCTGGAACATGGCCATACAGTCCAGCAACCCAGTGATTCCAGCCATGACAGCCTTCGACAATACAATCTTATCAGTGTTTTTAATGAAGCCCGTGTACATTGTGCAGTTACAGCACTGCAATTTCACTTTAACTACATGACAACATCCTGGAAGTTGTGGTCTGGTGAGGCACAAAAGAGAATTCTAAAAGTCCTTCCCTAAACTATAAATCCCAGGATTCTATCGTATGAAGCCATCACAGCTAAGGTGATAACAAAGTGCTATAACTGTGTAGTGCGAAAGGAGTATCAGAAGATGTGCTGTTAGCCTCTCTGTTGAATCTAGAATCATAGAGTTAGAAGAGACCTGGTGGGCCATCCAGTCCAACCCCCTGCCAAGGAGCAGGAAAATCGCATTCATAGAGCTGGCAGGGGGTTTCCTTTCTTTTCCTTAAAGATTAGTAAATGAAAAGAAAGTAGTGCTTGCCTCCATCTCCATTCCACTCATACAATGAAAACATTAGGGAGCAAGGAGCATCATTCTTCTAACAGAGTTGGCCCAGGACATTTTGCTGCCTGAGGAAGAACAACAGTGAAACCTTCAGATCAAGTTGTATAGTATTCAAAGCCAATCAAATTATTTTGTTACCCGACACTGAACATCCTACAAGCATCTCTCTCTTTCCCTATTAGTAAAAACTAAACAAAACAACAATACAAAATGAAATAACTAGCAATTTGCTGCCTCCTTATGATAGCCAAAATCTGCTGCCTGCTGAGGTCTCCTCATTCTGCCTAATGGGAGGGCTGGATCTGTTAACAAATATTTATTTATGCAGCCCATGAATACTGTTTTACAATGGTAGCACTCCTAAGTGCTACTATTTTAAAACAGAAAGCAGAAGGCAGTCATTTAAAAGCGAAATGTTCATTCAGATCCATGTGGCTATTTATTGTTTATGAATGTGAGAAGTCATAATACTGTTCTTGGACAATTCTGAAATCACCACAAAGTCCATCTAATGCAGAGTTCTTTACACTTTGTTGCTTTCTAAAATACCTTGTTGTAATTCTTAGTATTATAGTTATTTATACCTCACTTTATCTCTCCCAAAGGAGACTCAAAGCGGTTGAACATAAAAGCATCAGCATACAATTTAAAATATATAAATATGCAAACATTAAAACAAAATTAAATATCAACAGTATTGAAAAAAATCATAGTTATAATCCATTAAAACATATTCAAAGTTATTCATAGTTAAAATGCATTAAAACATATCCAATGTTAATAAATATTTGAAAGCATCTGCCCATCAATTGTGTTTGACTAAGGTGTGACTCAGAAATAATCAAGGCGTTCAGCTGCCTCCTAAATGAAAAGGCCTTCAGTCCCCAAATGTAATATTTGCTTTGTACACAAATATCTTTCTTTTTTTTACAGGAAAGAGAACAAGTAAAATCACTCATCAGGGTGTTTTAATCACTCATCAGGCAGATTAGAAGTGATAAATAATATACATGTTATATGTCAGTCACGGAAAACATAACCAAATATTTGACAGCACAAAGACATACTGTGAATTATTCTAGATTTTTAAGAACTTTTTTTCTGTAAAGTCATGTTTTATATGCCACATGATGATGAATTTGACTTCTTCAACTCTTTATTAAATTGTGTTCAATATATTGAGAAATGGACTAAGACATAAAATCTCTGTTTGCTGCCATTCCCAGTTCTGGGATCCAGAATTGGACCTTCATATCTACCAGACCTGGGAAAACTTAAGCCCTCCAGGTGTTTTGGACTTCAACTCCCACAGTTCCTAACAGCTTCAGGCCCTTTCCTTTCCCCCCTCAGCCACTTAAGCAGAAAGAGAAAAGGAAAAGGAAGGGGCCTGAGGCTATTAGGAATTGTGGGAGTTGAAGTCCAAAACACCTGGAGGGCCCAAGTTGGCCCATGCCTGATATATACAGTATACAGCATAAGATGACAAGACTACCATTTCTTTGCGGGGAATCATTCGATCAGATTCCCTACATACTTTACTCATAAAAAAATATTTCTGCACTTTACTTCTATACAAAGTTATGCATTCTATCAACTCTGTAAAACATACACGCATATCCTGGCCTTTATAGCCTTTTTAAAATGTGCAACTATGCCAAAAGTTCCTTTTGAATGAGATCTGGTTTTCCCTTTTGTGGAGTGCAGCTGAAGCCTTTTCTGCAGAGTCTACTGTACACATTGCACATTGTTGCTAACAGATTTGCATAAATGGGTGGCATTCAGAATCCTTTTACTGTTACCAGATTTTTCACAGACTCAAACACTAAGTAAGAGGACCCCATTTGGCGCCTGGATTTAAGAAGTTTAAGAAGCCCTGATCTAAATAGACTTGAAGACCCCTGAAGTTGCTTGCTTCAAAGCAATGCTAAAAACAGGAAAGATAAATTCAGCCACCCGTCATTCATAACTGTGAAGAGCGGGGACTGGTTGCTTCAGGGCCAGTGTCCAGTGGTGTACTATCAAGTTTGGTTTGTGCTTGTCCTCATTAGCAAAAGAGGAACAGGCATTTTTACAGTAAAATGTGACTTCCTAGTGCTTCTAATTCAGAATCCCCAGAATCTTTACCGTATCTAAGAGTCCACAAAGCTTAAAGTTCACAGCTTAGATGGCATGACAGTCCCAAACAAGGAAGGTGACGGGATTTTCCCCACAGCTGAGTGAGCAGCCGTGTCTGGAGGCCTACTGTTCAATCCCTGTTGATGTGCTCTTTCCTAGTGAATTGTGCCTTTTCTCTTTCTCCCTTTTTTATTTAGGAAGCAGTGAGGCAACAGCTAGATTACACCCGGACCACATTTTCACCTTTTCCACCAACTGTTTCCTCTGAAAAGCAGAAGAAAGAGACAAAGTTGGAGACACCAGAGTTTTCGCCTAAAACCAACATGCTGTCACATCATAGTCCTGGTATGAAAACAAGCACTTAAAATACTGCACAGATCAAAGCTATGTAGTTTGCACATCACAGAGACAACATTTCCAGTTTTTATGAAGTGTTCGTAAAACAGGGCATTTCTCCACCTTTCATCTGAATATTGCTGTTTGTTAACTTTTTTGTGAGCTGTTTGCAGAAATAAGAAGTGCCCTCTATTTATAGTTTTTCAAGCATGCACCTAAAATTATGGGCCATGTTGGTGGTATTTCTCAACAGCATTGTGATCATGATATCTTATTAAAATAAAGGTAAAGGTTTCCCCTTGACATTAACTCTAGTTGTGTACGACTCGGGGAGGGGGAGGGGTGATGCTCATCTCCATTTCTAACCTGAAGAGCTGGCATTGTCCGTAGACACCTCCAAGGTCATGTGGCCAGCATGACTGCATGGAGTGCTGTCACCTTCCTGCAGAAGCGGTACCTATTGATCTATTCACATTTGCATGTTTTTGAACTGCTAGGTTGGCAGAAGCTGGGGCTGACAGCAGGAGCTCACACTGCTCCTCAAATTCGAACCGCTGACCATTCAGACAGCAAGTTAAGCAGCTCAGTGGTTTAACCCGCTGCACCACCGGGGGCTCAATTACATTATTGCATTAATGACAAATATATCTTTACAAATGTATGTATCTATCATACAGAGACACCATGTGAGTCCCATTTTTGCTTCTATGTTTCACATGAAACAGCCCCAAATTTACTGATATTTTCTTTAGACCAATAATAATAATAATAATAATAATAATAATAATAATAATACACTTTATTTATATTCCGCTTTATCTCCCCAGAAGGACTCAGAGCAGATTACAATACACAAATATAAGGCAAACATTCAATGCCTTTTATACAGTGAACAACAATGACATGCAATACACAGGAAAAAAGTAAAGGCCTTCCCCTTTCACTTCCGGAGTCTGGAGTCGATGCTCAACTCTGGCCATGGGGGGGGGGTGCTGTTGTTCCATTTTTCCATGACGAGGAGCCTGTTGTCTGTAGATGTCTGCATGGGGCACCCTCTTACCTTCCCACCGAGGCAGTACCTATTGACGTACTCACATTGCATGCTTTTAAACTGCTAGGTTGGCAGAAGCTAGGGCTAACAGCAGGAGCTCACCCTGACACATGGCTTTGAACTGCTAACCCTCCGGTCAGCAGATTTCTTGCAGCTAGCAGTTTAACCTGCTGTGATCCCTACAAGCATTGCATGTGGTGAATTGGGCACTTTCAGTTTAGTGTTTGGGTATATTGCAGAAGAATCTTCATAGGAAAATAGTCTTCTGCAGTATACTCTAAATGTTTATTGGTAAGTTATTTAACCTGGATAGAATGTTTTTATTGCAATTAGACTATGTCTACTTCAAGATGCTAACAAAATGTTAAATCAATCCTGATTGGATGCAATTCCTGAAGGTTACAACTAAGCACCAAACTGCTAATAAGTAAGTGGGATTTTGTTTTCTTTTCTGTACAGTTCAGTCTTCACTAGTGCCAACTGAAAAAGAAGACACAAAGCCACTGAAGAAAATCAGTCATTCAGATCAACCCTCCTGGATGGAACTTGCAAAAAAGAAGTCTCAAGCTTGGAGCGATATGCCGCAGAGGATAAAGTAGAGCAAGAGCTTTCTACCCGTTGTTAATGCTATTTAAGGAAATGTATCAGACTATGTTAACTGAATGGATATAGATCAGTTAATTGTCATTAAAACTATGGCACGTCAAATACATCATGCATTCAAGAAATGTATATGAAATGTTGGTTATACATTTGTGTGTTTATCCTGCTCTAATAGTGAGGACAGTGCTCAAAAACTGCTTCAGATATTTACTCATGTCTTTGAGAAAAGTACTTAATGTCGTGCATATGCAAAACAAAGTGCCCTTATGGTGTGGAGCTTACGGAAAATTAAAAGCAGGTAGTGCTTTTTGCTACTAAAGGTAGGGATGGAGATGGAGTGATGGGACAGCCACTGACTGTTGTGGTCTATTTGGTCACCACTCCTATTCCCCTTCTCCCCACATAAATGTCAACACACAAGGGGCTCAAAAGGAGACAAGAAGCTTCCATGCAGTCCTTCCACTGCCCCTTCGCAACATTAAGAAAGAAAAGGGACTTGCACTGGAAAACACTCCATTCACTTGGACTGTATCACAGGGATATTCTGTTATGTTTGGTTCCCTTCTAGATTAGGCAATGAGGGTTGGAGGTGGGAACGCTCTCTTAATCTAGCCGTACCATCTGAACACCCTCATGATCTATAATCTTATGAGTTGACAATTTCCTCTGTATCCATGCCAAGAATTAGAATACCAATTAGGACGAGGGTTTTGTTTAGCCATGCCCTTTTCTAATTTATAAACCTGGGTTCATGCTGACCTCTTTTTCTGCTGGGAAACTTGTCAACATCCATAATACGGAAGGACAGCCTTAATAGCCTGCCAGCGGTTATACCCAGTTATAAAGATTGTCATTTGTCCAATTTCATGGATATAATATTGCAGCAGAAAATTAGAGAGAAAATTGGTTGGCATTGCTTCCTTCCCTAAGTGCACTGTTGAGCCTGTCAGAGTCCATAAATAAATACATTTTGACTGCATTCAGGGTCAAATGGAACAGACAATCCATTTCCTGTAAAGGCAAAAGGAAAGAAGTGGGCATTTATCGGCTTGCTATATCCAAGTTTAAAAAGTGACTCTTGCAGGTTTTATCTGACAGAGAAAGAAGTGACATGTTGTTCACCTTCAGTATTAGTCATGGGCCCGAAATTTGTCCCATTCATTTCATTTGTGATTCCATTTCGGAAAGGCCCCTCCTGAAATGGAAATGCAATTGATACAAAAGGCAGACAGGCCTCCTTTTTGGATCAATTGTATGAGACCTGGCAGGGCCTGCTGCCAAGCGCGGAGTAAGCACTGGCACTTGGCTGCAGGCTCTGTGTGGCCTGGGTGCATAGGCCCAAAGCCTGCACTTATAGGCCCAGGCACGTTAGGCCAACGGGTGAAATCCCACCCCCACCCCAATAATGGGCCAAAAGAAAATTGATATTTTGGCCCCATAAACGAAAAACACATATCTGACCTCAGAATTTCAGGAGGCTCAGATGAAAAAGGATCGGGGGGCCTGCCAAAAGCGGGAACATGAAACGGATCAAGGTAATTTCCGAATGCACATGACTATTCAGTATACATTGAAGGACTTGGCAAAAGTAGTCTTGTTGGCCCTCATGGGGAGAAAAGATCCAAAACCATTCATACGAGGGCAATAACTTTATTAATTTAACCAAAGTGTTGCAAAAGAGTCTACAAACCTTTAAAAGATCCAGAACGTTACATCTAGCAAGGTGGTCAACAGGTAAAGGGACAGGAAGAGTCAGCAGATGTGGAAACCATGGCGTCTTCCTTTGGTTTCAGTTTAAGATAAAAATGGGAAGAGATAGTAGTGGATATTTAGAAATACATTCTGTGGGTAACAGATACATATTAACTCTAATATGGAGTAAAGCACAAAACAAAAATTGAACTGAGAGCACCACTGATTCTAAATAGATCTATACTATGTACATTTCATTGTGCTTTATGGTTTTAAAACAATATCATAAATGCTTTCTAGATTTCATACTTGCCCCATGGCCATTTTGCTTCATATAATGCTATCTTATTTAATCCTAGCTTCCATCTCTTTAATCCTGCATAGGAAAGTCATGTTTACTTGGTAATAAATCCTACAAGGTTACATAGGGCACATTACCTAACCTCTCATACTTGTGTTTAGATATGAAGTTTTAACTGTCTCAACTAAATTATTTTCAGTGTTGTATCCTATGTACTGTATAAGGAATTGTAATAAACCATCTAAGTCTAGAATTCCTTGCAAGGACATGTCTGACTGTGTAATGTGTTAACATTGGTTACATTATGTAAATGTTAAACTTACATTGGCTGTAATATATACTTAATTTAAATCTGGGCTTCTATCCAGCATATATTTACATGGGCATATTACTTGAGACTGAAGGCTAAGGGTTTGCTTGCTCTAATTGGGTTTGTCTCTCCTTCTAATATTTTTACAAGGAAACGTTCTGTGACCAAGCTTGGCTCCTATGTGATGCCTCTGGCAAGAAATACAATCCTCCCACCGCTTAACTTTCTCAGAGAAGAGAGATCCAGACATTGTCAGTTGGGCTCTGTTTCTATTCCAGGCTAGCTGCTGCCACGTTCCCTCTGCTGGCTTGAGTGTGGCTTCATGGGAAGGTGGGACATATATGTTTTTAATCAGTTGTTGAAGACAGCTGTGGAAATGGTTGCTGCTCTAAAATGAGCTGCTCATCTTTTGATACTGTCTTTTTGTTTACAAAGCAGATTTTGACCTTTTGTTCATTTAAATCAGCACTGGGCAACTTAAAAAAGTTGCCCAGTGAAATCTGTGAATCTACCACAGATTGCACAGTCTTACAAATGTCCACAAAAGTCAACATTGACACCGAAGTACAACACTGCCTGAGCTCTGCAAGTGCAACAATTTTCCGAATGAAGCAGAGAGTGTTTGAGGATCAGGACATCCGTAGGGAGACCAAGGTGCTTGTTTATAAAGCTATTGTCCTCCTAACCCTGTTATATACCTGTGAAACGAGGACTATCTACAGACATCACACTGAACTCCTGGAAAGATTCCATCAGCATTGCCTCCAAAAAATCATGCAAATCTCTTGGGAAGCCAGGCAGACAAATGTCAGCACTGAAGCAATCAACTCTATGCCATCAACTCTGCTGGAGTGGCACAATGTCCAAATGCCCGATCACCATCTACCAAAGCAGTTACTATAAGAACAGACAATGGAATGTTGGACAACAGGAAAAGAGATTTAAAGATGGCTTTAAAGCTGACCTTAAAAACTGTGGCATAGACACCAAGAACTGGGAAGCCCTGGCCCTTGATCACTCTAACTGGAGGTCAGCTGTGACTAGCAGTGTGTGGAGGCACAAATGGAGTGCAAAATGGAGAAATGTGCCAAGAGGAAGGTGCATCAAACAAACCCTGAACAGGACCACCTTCCACCTGCAAATTAATGTCTTCACTGTAGAAGAACATGCGGAAGAAGAATAGGGCTCCACAATAAGTAACAACACAGAAGAATAAGTAGAAGAGAGAATGGTAAAGAGGTTAAGAACAGAAGACGGAAAAGGAACATCCACTCGGAAGATACGAAGGAAGTCAACGAGAGAGACATTTTCCACCGGTCTCCAACTTTTTATTTGTATTCTTTTTTTTGTTTGTTTGTCTCTTCTTTTTTTCTTTCTTTTTCTTTTTCTATCTTCTTTTCTTCCTTCCTCTTTTCCCTTCTTCTTTCCTCCCTTCTTTCCCTTTCCCCATACCCCCCTTTTTTTTCTTCTCCCCCCCCCCGCACTATTCTTTTTTCACTCACATTCTTTATACAGTCTTTTATATGTTTTGTAACACAAAGAAAATTTTCAATAAAAATTATTTTTTAAAAAAAGAATAGGACTCCACAGTCACCTACACCTCTAAGACACTACACTTGGAAGGCCATCATACTCAGACAAGGGATGGCCTAAGTAAGTTTAATAAATAAGTTCAATAACACATGCTGATGTTGGAGGGACATGTGAGAAGACATCCACTTTCTGTTGGGATAATTAGGTGCTGCACCATTTTTGTATAAAACCTCTGATTTCTGGGGCATTTCTGCTGATTTTTTGTTATCCGTTGTTGAGTGCCAGTAACTACGATAGCTGGCTTGGGGGTGGTGGTGAATACTTCCCATGATTCATAGTTTGCTGACCGTCAATGCAGATACCTACATATACATATTCTCTACATCTTTACTGTATACATGGCCTTTTCAGTCATGGCACCTAAAATGGTGGCAATCTCTCAAAAATATCTAACTGATGTTCCCTTTGCTATGTTTTAAGGAATTATTTAAGTACTTTCGCTACAACAACCCCTTACTCTCCCTTGTAAGTGTAACACAAATGGGATGAATGTGGTGATCTCTGAAAGGAGGAAGGGATACACACACCATCAAATGGAGGCAAGAGCAGAGATCATTCATCTGTGTAAGAGTAAAAAAAACCTGGAGCAAACCCTTAGTTTACAAAATGTATGTAGGATAATTCTGGATTTGAGAATTCTTTTGTGCAAAACGAGCAGCAAGTTGCTATAAGGGGATTACCACTTTGGGTCATCTTAGCATGCTTTTTGCCTGTGCAGATTCTGCACACAAGGATTTTAAAATGGGCCTCATTTCAGGAGAACAAAATCTATGCAAACATACCTGCAAGAAGTTCGCTGAGCCCAATAACACATGCATTTGTGTAAACACTGATAAATGGAAGAAAATTTGCACCTGGCATTCTGCATGTTCGACGAACCCTTAAGTAAAAGTATCCATTTCAAAGATGCTGGCCCTCCAGATGATTGGGCCATCAACTCCCAGAAGCCCCAACCAGTGTGTCCAATAGTCAGACATTTTGGGAGCTGAAGTCCAAAACATCTGGAGGGTCACAGATTTGATACCATTGCATTAGACATAGCATGCCATGTGGATAGCCTGTCAACTTATGGGAATCCCATTAATTTCATGGGGGTTTCTTAGGCAAGGAATCATCAGAGGTAGTTTTGCCAGTTCCTTCCTCTAAATATAGTCTACAGTACCTGTATTACTCAGAGCTGACCTGGCTTAACTTTCAAGATCATGAGACAACAGTGTGATGCAGAAGTTGAAAAGCCAATGGGGTTTTCAGCTGCAACAATAAGAGCATAGTGTTTAGATTGAAGTCTGCTTTGGTCAGATCTCACCTAGAATACTGTGTCCAGTTCTGGGCATCACAATAAGAGAAGGATATTGACAAGGCGAAAAATGTTCAGAGAAGGATGACCAAAGTGATCAAAGTTTTGGAGGCCAAACCCTTTGAGGGAGCTGGATATGTTTAGCTTGGAGAAAAGAAGGAGGGGGGGGGTTATGATAGCCATGTTTAAATATTTAAAAGGATGTCACATTGTGGAGGGAGGAAGCTTATTTTCCACAGAACAATAGATTCTTGACAGGAAAAGCTATTCCAGCTAAGCATTAGGAATAATGTCAGAGCTGTTCAACAGTGGAATACGCTGCCTTGAAGTGTGGAAGTGTAGATGATCGCCATTTGTCACAAGTGTTTTGTGTATTAATGTAAAGTAGGGGTTTGGATTTGGTGGCCCTTATGATCTCTTCCAACTTTATGATTTTCTGATCAGATGGGATCTGGTGTTTTGGAAGTATTTAGGCCCATGATTTGATTATACTGCTGTACAATTAAGTTTTGGTGTATCCTCAGTGGCATCCTTTTTAAAACAAGGAATTTACTGATATTGAAAAGTATGACAAGTTAAAATTTTGAGAGCAAAATACAACCATAAATTGTTAGAGTGCATGCAGCTGTTAGATATCTTGATTTAAGGAGAAAGACACAGATGGCTTGGAGAATAAGTCTAAGCTTCATTGTAAGGACTCCATTCTGACTCCTACTCAGGGTGCTGATCTAACCTAGCTACATATTTAAAGGTTGAAATAGGACTCATGGGAAGATGAGGTCAAGAAACATCTATAAGAATATACGTTTATATCAGAGAGAGGTCAAGATATGTAGACCTAAAGGAGGGAAACTTCAGGTCCTATAAAGTGTCTAATCTTATGACTACTGTCCACAGTGAGGCATTTTTCACTCTTCAATGCCAAGCACTGTTACATTTCCAACAAAATTAAGATGGAAACTTGAGTACGACCACTACATTTCCCATGCTGCTTCGAAGCAGGTCAGCATCGTACTCCCTGTGTTGACAGGTTTATTCAGAAGCTTCAAATGATTCAGCAGGTGGCAGCCAGTTTGCTAACGGGAGCAGCACTCAGGGAGCATACAACTCCTCTGTTGCGCCAGCTCCACTGGCTGCCAGTTTGCTACCAGGCACAATTCAAAGTGCTGGCTTTAGCCTATAAAGCCCTGAACAGTTCTGGCCCAGCTTACCTGTCAGAACGTAACTCTCCTTATAAACTATCTAGGACTCTAAGATCGTCTGGGGAGGCCCTGCTCTTGGTCCCACCCTCTTTGCAGGTGCGTATGGCGGGGACGAGAGATGGGGCCTTCTCAGTGGTGGCCCCTCGGCTGTGGGACGCCCTCCCTAGGAATATTAAATTGGTCCCCTCTCTCCTGACATTTCATTAAAAAGTCAAAACCTGGCTGTTCAAGCAAGCTTTCGCAAATGCAGCATAACAGGTGACTATGGAACTACGGAACGACTTGACGATGCGACTGGAAAATGAATTTAGTGAGGAGTCACTGATGATTTATGTTTTTATTGGCTTTGTATGGTTTTTATATTATATGCTAAATGATTTAAACTGTTACTGACTGTGAACTGCCTTGAGTTGCCTTCAGGCTGAGAAAGGTGGGAAACAAATACTGTAAATAAATAAATAAGTAAATAAAGTACTACAGCCTTAGCAGTATAGAAGCCTTCCCTACATATTTACACTCAGAGATTTTTGCTAATCAGAGGTGGACAGAAACATGTCAGATTCAATGCTATATGAATGTTCCATTGTTTACTTTCTGCTCAATAAATGTTCTGTTAGTGTTTTAAATAAACTGCCTGTTTTTCTGCCATTCTCTATTATGCAACTATCATAACATATTAAATGTTATCTGAAGGCCGTTGTACAATCTCCTTTGGTGAAGGACCTTTCATGGTTTACATCTTGCCTGAAGTTTCCATCTCCCTGTGTACCTTGGCTCTGATCTAAGAACACCTATCTGTGAGTTACTCCGCGGTTAAATGGAGGTCATCCAGGAAAACATTACCCTATTTATCAGGAGCCA